AAAGGAGAAAATAGGGGGTTTTGTGTCTTCTCTTAATGCAAACAATGTGAATTCTGGCTGTAAACAGTTGTCATTATTCAGACTTCTGTTTGCTTTTTTTAGGCACCAAAAGCTCTTATTTTATGATTTCAACAAATAGAAGAATTTAGACAGAATTTGAAAACTCTGCTCTATTGTTTGTTTTGTGGTAAAAGAATGCCTTTCCTTCACCTTTTAATTTAGTGTATAAAAGCATGCACTATGTCAGTGACAACTTAAAGAAGTAAAGGAAAGAAACCCTTTATGTTTCCTCCTCAGGAAAATTATATGTTTTTCCTTTCTTTTCCAATCCAACAAGGTATTTGGTTCCAAGTATTCATTTAACTACAGTATGAACACAAAATAAGGTGGCCTAAAGAAAGAAATGGCAAAATAAACCAGATTATATTCTATTTGAATAACCTACATAAAAATCATGTTCAGTTTCTAGGAGCCAACCAAACTGCAGCAAGTCTGTTCAGAATACAATCAAATTTCTATTAATATGGGCCACTCAAATATTTTAGAGGGAATATAACTCTTCCAATTTTAGAAGAGCTCAGTCTATGCCAAAAGTAAATCTGATCTTTCATTTCAATTATGATTCAGTATTAAATTAAGATCATGCTTTAGAGTCAACAAAAGCAAAGGCCCAGTAATTACTGTGAGTTATTGTTGCATCTTTTTCTCCGTTTCAATTTAGTTTTGACTCTAGAGTTTTCAACTCTAATCTTCTGTTGCAGCACTCCTCTTTGTTTGTAAGCTTTCGAACTGCTTTTTGCCAGCTCGAAACACAGAAGAGACAGACTTCAGTAGAAGCTGCAGGCTCTTCTTATTTCCATTATGTCAAATTCATTTTAGAGTTAGGCATCGGAAATTGTGCAGTCAAGTTCATTCTGGGCCAGGACATCAGGGCTGTGCAGTCAAGCTCAGAACAGCTACTTTGCTTATTGTATAATGCATTCTAAAGGAAGCAAGCCCATTTGTTATAGAAGAAAAATAAATAATAAAAACACCTTTGATCCTTTGATATTTATTACACTTTCCTGTGCACATTTGCACCTTTTTCTGATTTTTAATTTTTTTTTAATGATTGTTCTTCACATAAATTATGTTAAATTAATTAAAAGTGGTAGTTTCAATCAGATTTAACAATTTGCAATGAAATCATATCAGGGAAAAATGTTACTGCACACAATTTTTATGAGACATTAAATTAAGATTGTTTTGGAGGAAGAGACAAGAGAGAGGGTTATTTATTTTATTCAGTCCAAGTTCTTGTTCATTTTGGTCTGATGGTAAAAATTTGATTAAAATATGTAAACTAATGGTGCCTTTCATAAAGATTTAATGTTGCTACATGAATATGCTGGCTTTCAACTAGAAGGTTTGAGAGCTGATTATATTTGCTTTTAAATAGGGGGAAATGATACCCAGAAATCAAGTTGTTAGCATCTACTCTTCTTTTTCTTTACAAAGTCAGACTAGGTAATAATTAATTTCTAAATGTAATACCTATTATCCTACAGTGAGATTCTGTCACTGTTGGTGAATAAAATAACATGCAAACAGAACTCTCCCTCCCTATTTAGCAATGGTTATTTGATTTTTTTTTTCTCCAGCTGTGTGTCTCCAAGAGGGAGATCACTGTTTTGGCAACCTAAATGTGGTCAGGGCATTTCTCTCTTAAATATTGCTTAATCTGGTTTGCCTAGCTTGATTATGATCTTGATAAAAATTGCAGAAGATAGAATTTATGTGTTATTTTCTCTCTGACATTTCTTTTCCTTGCTCTTTTGATTTCAGCCACTCAGGCTTCTAAGTCTTCCTCAAGTGTCTATCACAAGCTATATCCAACATAAAAGTGAAATTAATTTCAGGAAAATTCATTCACTGCAATGTGTTGTGTTTGCACCTTAGGCAATCATTTCTTCTAGACCAAAGGGACAAAGGGCAAAAAGTAGTCAGCTGCCATTTCAGCTGAAATGTTCATTTCAGCTGGCTTCTTGTTTTTCTGTGGAGAAGTGGAAAATATTTGTATAACAACTTAAGTGAAATTCCTGTCATATATTCCCAGTGTTTATGTGTTATTAGGATTGTCCTTATTAATTCACACAAGCATAGAACTATTGTCTCTCAGAGGAGGAGAATAAGCATGTGATTTCCTTATTCTTTCATACATTCTCTCCTTTTATCTATAGAGAGATTATTGGGATTTTTTAGTGATGTTTAAATCTTCTGTACTATTAACATGACTTCACAGACCACTGCAATGTTTTCCTATATTGCTTAAGAAAGTCTTGTGTCCTGTCATAGTCTTTGAGCTCAAGTCTGAATAAAATTAATTTTTTTTTTTCCTTGGGACCTTCTCATGCTGACCAGGTGACATAATCCATATCCATCTCCCCAGCTCAGGAACTCAGGAATTCAGGAGTGTTCCTTTAAGCTTTTCTTCAGATCATCCTGTGCTTTTGTGGGACTCTCTCTCTATCAAGGACTTCAGTTAGGAAAGGGAAAAGCACACAGATAAAAACAAAGCTCTCTCTTAAAGGGAAGGTTGCTTGGCTTCAGAGTTGTCTTCTTCAGACACAGAATCAAGGCTGATAATTCCTTTATGCCATGATACAGGCACTGTTCTTAAATTTAGGAATTCTGCTCACACTTCATAAAACTCAGTTTTGTGCTTAGTTATTGAGTAATTGTAGTGCTGGCACATCTGTGCTCAATGCAATGCAGCATCAAGTGTCATAACACCAGGACTCAGGAAAGGTAGATAACAGCACCTCTTTTTCTATAGCAATACCTTAATTTGTGCTCCTTACAGGAAGCTGGTATTCTCAACAGGTGTTGCAAAGTCCTGGTTGACATCATCTTCCTCTTTATGTATTTTCACTGTTGCAGATTAAAATATGGTAGATTTTTATGGCACTGAAAGTTCTGCTTCTCTCCTTTTGTTCTTTTAGAATGCACTTAATTACTGCTCTCTAAGGTCATATATTCCTAGACTGAATTTCAGTGAGTGTTTCCCAGAGGTTTCAGCACACAACTTTAATGAAAGCTTTTGAACCTTTGGCTCATTTTTTTGAAATCTTCTACCAGCCATTATAACATCCCAGGGAGATGGGACAACTGAGGACTCCTGTATTAAATTATGAAGCTTATCATGTTGTATTTGCCCCATGCTCATAATTTCTGTGTACAGTCATCAGTTCTACAGCATCATGCAGTCTTCTGGATCAGAAGCTGTGGTATCTCCTGGGCTTTATATAAATGCTATCACAAATTAGTTTTTCTAATAGTAATAATCTAAATGTTGTTTACATACTGGTAAGGACTAAATTTTGTCATGCAACTAAGGAAGAAATTTTTTATGATACCAGTGGTGAGACACTGGCACAGATTACCCAGAGAGGTTGTGGGAGCTCCATCCCTAGAAACATTCGAGGTCAGGATGGACAGGACTCTGAGCCACACAGTCTAGTTGAAGATGTCCCTGTTCATTGCAGAGGTGCTTTAAAGTTCCCTTCCAACCAAAACTATTCTATGACTCTGTGATTCCATGGTAAATAATACTTGTGTTCTCAAAACAGCATAATCTCTAAAATTTGATCAAAGACAGCAAGTTAAGATGGGCCAGTTTCTAAATGTTATTGAGCCAAATAAATATGTTCATAACAGACTTAATAGCTGTTACTTATTAAGTTCTATGGAATCAAATTTATGTTTGTAATCCTTAAAAAGTTGTTTAAATTTTAAAAACTTTTCTTTTTAATATATCCTTAGCCATCCTGCAATAGTACTTGGTAAACATAAACACAAATATTTGCTCTAGCTGAGGATTTGGGTGTAGTGTTTCGGCATATTTGCTTCATATGGCATGATTCTCATTCCTCTCCCTGCCCTTTATTTCCTTTCTTTTTCTTTTCCTCAATAATCAGAATTGGATTTCTGTCCTGCTGAGGTTGTTACATATCAAAATTTTCCTGTTCTTCACTAAAATATTATCAAGTGGAAACCTGTAGAAGTTAGAGGAAAGGCAGATAAATACATAAGATAAACAAACACATAAATGCAAACATAATATGTAAATAAAAGAAATCTCACATTCTTCAATACAGCCAGACAGTAATGCTCCCACTGGAAAGCAGGATTCAAGTTACTAGATCAGTTAATAAATCTGTATGTGAATTCTGTCTCTTCTTTAGGATGCTGCTGACAAAGTATGTACCACAAAAAGAAATGCAGAGAGTTGTGAAACTGCCCCTGAGTTTTAGGGATGGATTTCATACTTCATTCTACTCTGTTCCTCTTCTATTTCTTGTGCAGCCAAAAATGGTTGAGAAAAAGAAACCATATGGAAAGCTGTGTGATGTTGGACAGCCAGAGTTGAGGAAGCTGTGACTGATAGCAACTCCATTGCTGCTGTGTGCAAGATACAGGACATTTCCAGGAAATAGTCAGAGGGATTGCATGAACAGAAAACAGTAGATGGGGTTTTTGCTCTAAAAGTTCTGCAGCCAGCAGCTTTTGTTAGACATGCTCTATGTATCTCTGGGTTTCCTGATGCTACTGACTGGGCCTGCAGAGGTTGACTGAAGGAGCAGCTTCTTTGTTTGCAGTATTCTTCAGTGACCTTGAAGCATCACTGAAGATTTATCTTTTGAACTACACATATTAAATGATATTGCTTGATGAAGAGATAACCAGAAATGTAAACTCAGTAGAGCAGGAAACATCCAGAAATAGCGGTCAGAGAATACGCATGGATAAGCACAGTCAAACTATGGGGTGAGTGGTACTGGTGTGTGTCCTCTTTGCTGGTCATAGGAAGTTTTCTCTCAGCCTTTTTGATTTTGTACTCTGCTTCTGCACCTGGGCATCCATCTGACCTTTACATCCATTGGATATTTAGAGCCCCCCTTCTGTGTCCCTGTGTAATGTCAAGCTGCTCATAGCTGCTGTTGTCTCGGTTCCCTGCGCAGGTGAACGGCATTGATCTCCGCGGTGCTACCCACGAGCAGGCTGCGGCTGCGCTCAAAGGAGCGGGGCAGACGGTAACCATCATAGCACAATACCAGCCAGAGGGTAAGTGAAACAACTGCCTGCAAGGCACATGGCAAAAGAGGAGAGCTCTGGAGCCACTCATTTAACAGGGTGAGGCTGCTGTAGGTAGCAAGTTTCCTGGCTATCATTAGCAGTCATCTGGAATGAAGGTCAAGGTGGCAATTCTGTCCCAAGGAAATGGCTGTATTTTTGTCACAGAGCACTCTTTAAGTGTGCATATAATAACAACACAGTAATCAACACTTAGTTATTCATTTTGTCCTCATTAGTGATCGTTTTATGTTCTTTTCTAGTCTCTTCCTGGAAATAGGTAGTGCAAAAGATAGGTTAAGAGAGACCAGAAATGCCAGGAAGAGCTGACATTGCTTCAAACAGTCAGATTAGAATTAGACAAGGATAAATGCTTCCTGCAGGATGTGTAGAGCTCCTGTTATTACTTTTGGATGACAGCATCCTTGTACCTTCAGGGCAATTAGGCCTGGATAACAACTACTTATTAGAGAAAATGACAGCTTTCTAAATAAAAGCATCAGCAGGAAATTCAGCAAAATACAAGACATTTAAGGTGGGATGCATCTCATTCAAATTTTGCTGTCAAATATGTAGCTTTCTAGAAGTTAAGCTAGTTTCAGTGGGCAGAAGTAGGCACTGATTGATTTGGGGTCCAGAATAAAAGGACAAGATCCTTGATCAGTCCATGATCAGTGCCCCAGATGACTATCTGAAGTTCTCAAGGAATTTGTGAGAGGAATATTACCTTCTGATTGGAACTCAAGGTGGTTTTTCTCTTCGGTAGTTATTACATTAAAGTCTTTGCCAGATTAATTCAGCAAGTACAAGTGTCTGTGAAGATTTGCTGGCACCGTGTTATCATTTTTCAGGAAGCAGTTCTAGCTCAATTCACAAGATGATTCTGCCTGATTGTGTCCAGCCTAGGAGATATGCAAGTCTCATAGGTGAAACAACTGCTCTAATAACATGCTCAGTCAGTCAGGTTTTTTTTAGGGAAGTGAATTAGTACTTCCAGAATTTATCCAATATGATACTTTATTTAATTTCTTTGGATCCTGATGATAGCAATCAAGTAGAAAAAGAGTTTCTATTTTAGTCAAATGTACAGTTGTGCTTCAGATCTGGAATCAAGCATCCATTTATTACTTTATCTGTGCTTGAGTCACCAAACAGAATAGGTTGGGCCAAGAGGGCCAACTTAGAAATGGGCAGATGAGGGCAAATGAAATTGAAAGTGTCTATCTTCAGTTAAATAAATGGAACATATTAATATAAAAATGCATGAGTAATAATAAGCATTATTTCAAAGAAGTATTGAAAAGCAATTCCATTACAGATAGAGCTCTGCACTGGGCTCTGAATGAAACCATGTTCCTATTAGTTCCAGCAGTCTTGTTTGCTGTCTGGTGATTTTGCACTGCAGTTATCACCATGGTGTCTGGGTACTTGTAGCAATCAGTGGCGTGTCACAGTTGTTCTGTGCCATTGTTAATACACAAAAAATTACATTGCTTGACAGCTTTTTCCTATTAGGATTGAACTTCTAGTTGACATATTTGTACCCTACATTTTCGCAGCTCAGTCCTGTATCAAATTTAGTTTTGGTGAACATACAATTCAAGTGATACTGATGAAATCCATCAGGTATTATTCTGGATATTTATTCCATGTATTCTATTTATTCTGTGTCATTGCTCCATTCACCAAAGCCCCTGTTGAGGGCAGACTAGTCCCAACTGCATCACTTCTTGTCAGTGAAGCAAAGCCAGTTTTCTGTTTCTGCCAAATAGCTAAAAACACATCACTGAGAGTAAAGCTTGTGAGGAACAGGGCCCAAAAGTTCGTTGTTTTATAGTAAATGATTAAATCTTTAAAGGTAGTTTAAAGAGGGTTGTTGTCTATAGTTGTCCAGCATGTGTTATGTTACAGCTGAAATATCTAATTTTAATCTGAGATACTGGTTAATGCAAACTGCATAAGTCAAATGTAAAATGAAACATTTGTTTCCTGAGAATTCCCTCACAACAAAGAAAGATGAAAAAACTTCTAAAGAGTTACATAATCTTCACAAAAGGTTATATAAAGATTTATAGGCTACACAGAAAGACAAACACACTCTATATGAGACTAAATACTTATTTTTTTGAGAAATAAGAAATCAGATATAAATCTATTTGAAATTTATACCTGATTTCTTATTTACTATATCTTGTCTTGTTGCATATATTGGAATATAGTCATAAAATAATCTTAAAACTGTGCAGCTGTCCTTCCCTCAGGGGCTTCTCACTTTTAAATCCTTCCAGATCTAGTAAAGTACATAAGCTAAGTTGGCTGGTAGCTTCTTCCATTTTCACACTAGAAGTTCTGAGTTGTTACTACAACTTCAGGTTTTTCTGGGGAGATCTAAGAATAGTCACTACAAAAGTTAATCAGTACTTTTTTTAAATGTCTTTGATTATTAAGCCATTAGATGTTGTTGCAAAAAAAAAGCAACATTCAACAAACCCTTTAGCTATTGATATTTCAGGTATTGAGTGATGATGATGTAAGTACCAGTCAATACTGTAAGCAAGCTGATGATTAGCAATTAAAATTGTGAATAGAAAAAGCTTATTTTATGCAGTGAAGGAAAGCTTCCAGTATGATTATTGGTATTTTCTCAAAAACTAAATAATATGCTATGCTGTGGGAAGAAAATAAGGTAAATATTATAGAAACAGCTTTCAAAGTTTAAATGTCCCTTTCCTTGTTTCAAACAGAATCCCATTCAAAGCCTCATATGAACTTCCTTCACATTTATGTGTAGAGACTTGACAAAAAATCTCATAAGAGTGGTAACTCCTACAAAAAAATAAAACAAACCCTAGTGCTTGCCATCAATTTGAATAGCTTTTCCCATCAATATTGTGGTGCTTTTTTTTGTCATCCTGTTTGGAATGCACAAATGCAGAGATGAGCTCAGACAAAACAGAATAGCATCACATCATTTTTTTGAATGCTGTCAGATCTGTGGTTGGTGATGGTGCTCAGCTGAACCACACTGCTCATCCCTCAGATGGAAGTGGTCTGGGTGAGAATGCTGTAAAAGAGCACAGATATTGTGAATAAAGGGAGAATAGAAGAAACAAACAGTGATTTCAGGCAAAGTTGTTGAATGGAAATAAAAGGAATAGTATTAATGGAGAACCGATTCCTCAGTTTTGCTCTTCAGTCTCTTTTTTCCTCATTTACACTCACCACCTTTATTTCCCTCTTCTCTCTGAGAAATAGAAGAGGCAAAGCATTATGAAAATACAAACAGAAATCTAAATTCTGTGAGCAAAATTAGGGATAGATTATTAAGAGCAAGAGGAAATCAAATTCTGAAGTTGAAAAAATCAGGGATCAGCAGTTGAACTACATATTTAGGAACAGCAGCTATAACTCTGGGCTTTTTTAGTGACTCCTTACTTTTATTAAAAAAAACTGAAAATAACCTGTGTACTGTATGTTATGTACACATGTATTGTGTAAATGGGGGAGAATGAATGTTGAGCATCATGATCTCTTAATAATCATTGTGGATGTAGTTTATATGGAGGTTTCATAACTAGTCCCCACAGGCTTCAAAAAGGTAACCTTTCATATTCTTGTGAAACTCACATCTTCTGCCTGTGGTTAATATGAGATTAAAGATAATTTAGGGACCAAAAGCTACCTAGAACAAACTTAGAAGACAAACCAATCACTTCTATTTAGCTTTGTACTCCAATTCCTTAATAATCAGAAGCATTTTGACTTTCCTTAACAGCTCAACAACTCTCAGATGTCTTTTAAAATAGTGCACAGATACAAAGTAAATGCAAAATAAAAACCTGAGCCTGGAAAATAATCTTAGGATGGATCAGTGTGTCCCTACTAAACAATTAAGTGTAAATTAAAATGGAATATATACCACACAGGGAAACACATTTTACACTTCCAGGTTTTTCTTCAGGACATATTTTGCTGTTTAACAGCAAAAGTTGCAAGTACAGTGCAGTATGGAAGGAATTAAGAAAAAGAAAACAACATTTTTTCAGTTAAGCTACAATATATTTTTAAAGAAAAGGGAACTTTGGTTGAAATATTAACAATTTGTCCTGAAAGACACAGCTTGGGAGTGGGGACAAACAGAGTTCTAGTCTCCTAATAAAGCTGCTAAAAAGCTTTATTGCACATTTTAGTCTCAAAAGCTCATGTTCCTTTCCCCCACAGCAGTGTGGAAAGGTGAAGTGTAGCCTTAAGATTTTTGAAAAATATTCTGTGTCAGTGGTCTGCAAGCTGAGCTGTGCTGCATTGCAGTACCTCTGCAGCTATTGCCTCACAACAGTCCCTGGAAAAGTGTTAAACCAATTGGAAGTTTCATGTGCTTTCACTCTTTCAAGCGAGCTGATTAACCAGCTCCCTTAAGAGCTCATTGATTACAGTTTGATTAGAGCAGCTGGCACTGCAGAGGTTAAAAAGTTTTTACAGAGAAAGAATTTGTGCTTTATCTCTTTGTCAGTGAGCTGCTGCTCGGTGCCTGTTGTGAGGTGAGGAGCTGAGCTTTAGCTACAGAAAGAGTGTGAGGGGGAGAGACACTGTGAGAGGCAGTGTCTGTCTCTGCAGGCAATAGCCGAAGGAATTTTTGAAGAACTGCACCTAAGCAACTCCTGGAAGCTCTGATAACTAAATTTACTTTTTTATTCTTTTGCTCCTAATTCTGAGAGGCTCCATAGTACGTTGGCATAGAACTAACTTTTATGAGCAGCCCCAGATTTTATGAAAAAGTACCCTTTGTCTTACACATTTGCCTGAGCTGCAGATGCTGAGATTCACTTTTTTGAAAACACCAGGTGAAAAATCCAAGAGTAGCTTCTGAAGGTCTCTGAGGTGATGGATATTTTTTAGCACTTACCCCTTTTTTATTCATTGTTGCTGCCTCAGAGTACTAACACTTGTCTCCTCTTTTGGTACAGCAGTCACATAGATTCCTGATGCAGACA